TGATGCTAATGTGACCCCTGTTGCTGAACAGGCAAGAGTTGAGAAAATAGAAAAGGACGAAACTGATCCTGAAATTAAATTAAAAGAATATAAAGAAAGCTTTAGAAAAGCGGTTCAAAAATATGAAAAGAAATTATCTAAAAGACCTAAAAAGGATAACAAAGTTGTGAAATGTCAGACACTCAATTGGACCAACGTGAAGAACTTTTGAAACGGCTTCATTATGACTTGGATAGTCACGGTAGTTTCGGAGGTGCTAAAAGACTTTATAGAGTTGCGAAGGAGCATGACCCATCGATTGAATACAATGATGTAAAACAATGGTTGATGAAGCAAGAAACGTATACAAACTTTCGGGTACGACGGAAAAACTTTCAAAGGCTAGCTGTATTGGTTGATAGAATCGATGAGCAATGGCAAGCAGATCTTATGGACATGTCCTATTGGTCAGGGCAAAACGATGGAGTCAATCATTTACTTGTTGTGATTGATATACTGAGTAGATTTGCATGGATACAACCGTGTAGAGATAAAGCAGCACCCACAATCATAAATGCTTTTTCTGAAATTTTTTCTTCAGGAAGAAAGCCTGAAAAACTACAAACGGACCAAGGACGAGAATTCAACAATAACAGGTTTAAATTTTTTTGCACGTCTCAGGGTGTACATTATTTCACGACAACTGACGCATCAATAAAATGTGCTTTAGCTGAACGTTTAATACGAACATTACGTTCTCGTATATACCGTTTCATTTACCATAAACATACACATCGATACATTGATGACTTACAAAACATTGTTAATAATTACAACAACTCTTACCACAGAACTATTAAGACAACTCCAAACTCTGTAACACAAGATAATCAACAATATATCGTGCAAACTATTCAGAGATCAATAAAAAATGAAGAGAATAAAAAGAAAACTTTCAATGAAAATGACTTTGTTAAAATTCCATTAAATACTGGCAATTTCGAAAAAGATGCAGTACAGAAATGGACTGATGAAGTGTTCAAAGTTTCAGGGGTTAAAGAAACGCCTCAAAAATTCATCTATAAATTGAAAGATCTACAAGGTGAAAATATATCATCAATTTTTTATCCTGAAGAATTACAAAAGGTTGATTTTGACCCTAATAAATTGCGCAGAGTTGAAAAGATAATCAGGAGAGTTTATGACAGATCACGAAGACAATATAAGTACTTAGTCAAGTGGGAAGGCTGGCCAAGGAAATTCAATAGTTGGATATCCGATATCACTCTTGCAAATGACAGCAATTAACTTTACAATTGACCTAGTGTCAAATGGGTCTACAGACATCTTTCCAGAAAATACATTATCAAAATTTCAAAATCAAATTGATCCTGCATTGGAACTTGATGGTGATTGGGAAGTTGCACTAACAGAAATTTATTTTCCCATCAAATTTGCTATTGATATATCAGAGAAAATGCAAGTTAATTTTAACATTTTGTATACAGCATTCACCTTTTATCCAAATATCGACTTGCGAGTGATATACCCTCCTGAACAAAAGTGGAGGAAATATGACACTTTGGGTGGTGATTATGAGTCATCTGTTGATATTTTTCCAGATGACTCTGTTAATGCGATAATAGATAAACTCAACACTTCAATGATGGCAAATTTGAAAAGTATCGCTCCTACACTTGTTTTCGATTCCTATCCTAAATTTGTTTGCGAAAATGGGAAAACAATCTTCTATCCTGGTCTTCTCACTACAAAAAAAGATAAAGCTACCGCGCTTAATGTTCGTTTAAATGGTCCTGTTGATGAGATAAAAGCAAAATACAAAAAAGATCATGACATTGATTTAGAAGAGATTGGAAAGCTGCCAACTGAAGCGGGAGGTGTAAATAAGGCTTTTAAGCATTACAAAAACATATTTATTGATGGAATGCACACTTATAGTGCTGCAGATGGAGAAGAAACTGAGAAATACAAAGAAATTGCATCTACTGTTTTTGTTCCGCAATTTTCAGACGGGAAATTAATGGAATATTTAGGCTTCTCTCCATCAGCGGATGCTTTAATCGATAATATTGATCATTTCAAACAGGAAGTTGTAGTAACAACACCTCTTTATCATAAAAATAATGTCAATCTGATGTACGTATATACTGATATCATACGAGATCATGCGGTTGGAGGAACTAAAGCGCCTGTATTGAGAGCAGTACCACTGACGACTGGTATTTATCAAGGAATCGGTTATTGTACATTTGAGCATCGAATATATTATCCAGTGCGGAAAAACCATATCGAAAATATTGCGATTTTTTGCTTGGATGATACTGGAGAGCAGATTAAATTTGCAAACATTGGAAGAGTTTTTGTAAGCTTAGATTTTCGTAAAAAGAATTAATATAAAGAAAACAATGTATTTAAATGGTGAATTGAATAAAATGATTCAAAGAAAAACTTACTGTCCTAAAGATAGTGATTTCAATGACTATTTTGCACATCAAGTCGGTTCTGGATTCGGTGACATTAGAATAGTCAGAGGTCCTAGGTATCAAAGAGGGTATGGCTTCGGTAGCTTCTTCTCTCGCTTAGCTATGCCTGTTATAAGGTATTTAGGCAAAGAAGCTCTGAATAAAGGAGTCAGTATCGGTAAGCGTGTAGTTCAAGACCCTCAAATTCAACAAGCTTTCAAAGATAGTGTTAAAGATTTGGCAAATAAAGGACTAGCTAAAATTAAGGAAAAGGTTATAACACAAGAAGGAAGTGGACGAAAAAGATTATATAAAAGGAGGCAAAAGTCTAAACCTCAAAAATCTTTGCGTAAAGTGAAGAAGCACACTCTGAAAAGAGTGAGCAAAAAGAAAGGAATCAAAAAGAGGAGAGTAATAAGAAAACAACGAGATATTTTCAAATAATGGAGTATATACATGCATCTTCGTCTCCAGCTACTATTGCTGAGCTTGATTTATTTCAATTTCCCCCAACACAGACTGTCATTGAAAGTATCTATGACACAGAATACAGACCGATAGGATCGATTGCGAAAGCTAATGTATTTGAATTCATAGTGCCAGCTTCGGAACACTACACTGACCTCTCTGCAACGTATTTGTATGCAAAAATGAAGATTGACGTACCCACAGGAAAAAGTGTTACACCCACAAACAATTTTGCTGCCTCACTATTTGAGCAACTTGATGTTTATTTTGGGAGTGTAAACGTCACACCTGGAAATAGTTTATACCACTATCAGTCATACATTGATGACATATTTTTCAAGTATAAATCACCCCTTGATGATTGTCAAATGATTAATGATACGGATTCTGCAAGATCTGATAGAATCAAAGATAAAAAAGAGTTTGACATTATAATACCTATTCACGCTCCAATGTTTCAACAAGAAAAATTTTTGATTGATAATGTGCCCATCTCGTTACGATTCAAATGTGCACCGCAGACTTTTGGATTGAACAGCGCAACAGAAGTAACTCCGCTGAGTGTAGAGTTTACACAGCTTTCTCTTTTCATAAGGCGAGTTAAATTGTATGCTCCAGTACAAATGGCAATCACTTCACAATTGGAAAAGAGTCCGGCAAAGTATTACTTTCAAAGGAATGAAGTCAAATCATTTCATCTACCAAAAGACTTTGCTGCAAATAGCATTGACAATGTATACAATGGACAGTTACCACGCAAAATTATTGTTGGTTTTGTTTCTGATGATGCATTTAATGCGAAATTGACAAAAGACTCATTCAATTTTGAACATAAAAATCTGCAAAGCGCTACGATTGTCGTAAATGGAACTAAAATACCGAGTACACCTTATCAGCCTGATTTCAAAAATAAATTATTCATGAGAGAATACTTTAATGTTTTCCGCTCCATGAATCAAGATAATGGAATACCTAAAATCAATCTAAAATATCAAAATTATTCTGATAAATATCCACTTCTTGTTTTTGATTTAACCGATGATGGTACTCTCGCAAGTGATTCAGGTGTATTATCTATGATCAAGAGAGGCAATGTTCGTATGGATATTCAATTTTCTTCTGCTCTTAGTGAAGGGATGCATATGCTGGTGTTTGCTATATATGATAGCGTTCTACAAATTGATGCAGCACGTAATATTGTCACGGACTACTGATGGCTTTAACAACATTAGATATACAAAATCAACTCGTAAAATACAAAAATTTCAAAGGAGTATACGCAATTGATAAACTTCCACTTACTTTGTTTCCAAAACCTTTCGGAATCGTAATCAATCTCGATCCAAGCTGGAAATCTGGCTCACATTGGACAGCAGTATTTATACCAATATACGGCAGTGGAATTTATTTCGATTCTTATGGGCAGCAACCTCCTGAAATGATAAAAACCTATTTGGAAAGAAACTGTAAACGTTATGATTATATCTATAATGTAGATGTATTTCAAGGAGACTTGTCGATCAAATGTGGTTATTTTTGTATCTCTTTCTTGAAAAGTTGCTTTACTGGTTCTTACTTACCTTTTTTGAAATGTGAACAAAAACACAATGAAAATATAATAAACAAAATTTATTAAAATAAGATTTAAAATTAAATGTAATTAAATGAATAAATCAAAGAATGAAATTACAAAACGTTGGAAATAGTATCTGCAATATCATCAATTTCCATTTCATCCCATGCTTTAAAAACATCTTCCCATGAATCCCCCTCTATCACCGGTATAGGTTTATTGCACAGGTCCATTTTTTTCAAAGCAGGATCCTCAAATTTTATTGCCTCGGGTTTTCCCTCATTACACCATTGCTCCAACTCTTCCATATTGATTTCGGTTTCTGGCTGTTCTGATTCTTTTTTTGTTTCACCCCATTTTATGCTTTTAATCCATAATTCGATCAGCATTCTCGTCGTCAATTCGAAAACGAATGGCTTTCTAGTTGCCACCAGAGGGATTCGGCTTCTCTTTGCCTTTTTTTGATTGATTTTCATCATTCGCTGTTTCATGTTATACTTTGCCATCTGTAAAAGAAAGAAAAGAGAAACATTAATAAAATGCAAAAAAGAAAATGATTTAGGGATGTGTGGAAGAGATGGGTATAATGGACATGCAAATTATTGTAAAAGACTTTTAATTAAAATAAAAAGTTAGTAGAGATTACATTAAATAGAAAATACAAATACAGAAAAAATGTATTGGTTTAATCATGAGATAAACTTGTTTCGTGTCAAGAGATACTCCACAACAGTTTCAATCGTCTGCTCAGTAGTTAATTGCATGGGTAGTGTTTCTCCTCTCGCTTCTTTAGATAATCTGGCTTGTTCCAAGAAATAGTGCATAAAGTGCTCGTTTTTTCGTTTCTTTCTACCAAGACCGCTACTACATGGCTGTTCTTCTCTCGTCCTGTTATAAATTTGATTCTTTTTCTCATAATTTTTCCAATTTTCCAACCAAATATACACGTTTGATATTTCTCTTCTCAGCTTTGCGTGCAAGAAAATAACCTCCCTATTACCAATATCAGCAGCTACTCTTTTGAAATAAGCTTTTGTTTTTTCTGACCATCGCTCATCATGATGCAATTCCAGAAATAAACTTTTCATTTGTTTCAATTTTTGTCCTTCAATGAAAGTAAGCTGTATCCATTCCTTTGCCAAAGTCAAGAACAATTTATCAAACTCAATTTTCGTAGCTTGAATTTTGAAGAAAAGTGAAATTTCTTTGCTACTTGGAGCCATGATTTGCTGCAACATGATAAAAAACAAAAGATTTTGATTAAATTACAGAATGAAACAAAAACTGGAAGTTGCGCAGTGATTTAGGAAAGGTGGGTTTGGGTTTGATGTTAAGTTTAATAATTTAATTACCTTTTGTATATTCTTATTTTACAATTCTATAATGCCCGTATGCTAAAGTGCTAACTGCATCGTCCAAAATGTATCTCTTGTCATCAAGTGGAGAAAAAGATAGTTTATTTATCTCTACTGAAGAAATAGCATGATGTTTACTCTGTAACCTAAAGTTTTTATGCTTCAATAACACATTTTCGAAAAGACAAGCCTTATAATCCTCTATTGAAATCCCACTTTTAACAATTGCTTTTTGCACTCCCTTAGCAGTCATTTTTTTATTTGTACCATATTTGATAGCATAAAGTTTAGCTTTTATTGCAACTACTTCATCAATTATTTGCCCATTCATTTCATCTTTCAAATATCCTAGTTTCTTTTTATTTTCAATGCTGTACAAAAAGTGTGCTTGCGGATAATCAGAAAAATCCATAAGGTAATTGAATTCTTGCAAGTCATTGTATAAATCTTTTGTTTGTATTTTATAAATAAAACTGTCGGTGTCAGTGTAGATGAGAGACAATCTAGATCCATATTTAGGTTTGAAATGATCATAATGTAGTCTGTACATGTGTAACTTTGATAGTTCCAAGACTGTAAACCCTAAATAAATCGGTTTGTCGAGAATAACTTCAAACTTTCTCAACTTGATTATTGCAAGATCATTGTCTAGAATGTAAAATTGTTCAAACATTGGCTGCCTGATTTGCTGTAATGCTTGTTTTCCATTCGTAGCAATTATGACTTTACTATGTTTTCTTTTATCTTCTATGCTTTTTCCATACAATGAATTTACCATTAGTTTCCAAAAATCTTTAACGAATGATGATGTAGCTTTTTTTCTATTTTCTGTGCACATTTCAATATATGGTTTGAGCCAAGCTTCTTGCTCAAAACTAATAATGCGATGAATCTTTTTCAAAACTAGACCTTTCTCAATGTAGAAACGAAGATTTTTCTCATGCAGAACATAATTTTCTTTGTTCATCAAATTCGGAACAAGTTTCTTAGTTTTGTAACGCTTAATGCCTGCAGCTTCTAAAAAGCTCACAATTTCTTTTTGATAACCACTCAACTGTTCATATTCAACAGTTATCCTTTCAGGTGCCAAAGGATAATCATTATGAAGATCATGTAAACATGACGGATAGTCAAGATCAACCTCTAGAATGTAACCAGTTTTTCGGTCAGAATCAGAATGCAAAATTTCCTCAATTACACTTTGAAACATGTAAGGAGGAACCCATTCAAATTTTCGACAAGGCAGAACATCACTAAGAGCATATCCGTAGAGATTGTTAACGTCAAGATATGTTAAAAAAGAGCTTGGTTGATTAGGATCAAATTTCTCTGATAGTTCATTATTAGCGCATGCGTAACGGCACATAGAGCAAGATATTCCTCCCCTTATTTCCTCCTCAATCATTAAAACCATGTCAATATCAGTCAATAGATCCAACACAACACCAGTGAACTTCAAGGAGGCATCCCATGTTAGTCCCGGGGTTGAGAAATAGTGACAAGGATCTAATCCAAACTGTTTCAAACTAGTCGCACGAAAGTTTTGAAAAATAGCTGCAAGAAGTAAAACATCAACTTTAAGATAAATATCATGAAAGTCCCCAAGATTTTTACAATTAAAATGCTCCCATATATCGAGCAATCTATCGTGCAATTGTTTATCAATTGTTTTTAGTGACAGATGCGAAAAAAATTTATCAATAGATGGTAAACTTTCTTCTTCAAATCTTTCCCAAGAGTCCATGTATTCATAAGGCAGTGATCCCTTATTCAGAATATATGGTAAATCATCCTCGGAAAAGGTTTGACACAAAAATTTCTTCTTTTCTTCAGTTGATAAATTATTTGCTAATGTGTCCAAACTAGATAGCAAAAAAGCATAACTGTCCAAGAAGATGAAATCATCCATTATTATTGCAATATACTTTTCAGTATTTTGCGGTATTACATTTATTTTATGAATTTTATCTGTTTTTAGACCTCTGATTAGTAAATGAGCATCATAACCTTTCAGATTATGAAATATGATTGGAAGTCTATGAGGTAAACGCATTTTGAGATTGCATCGATTGTGCGCAGCTCCTCGGAATTTCCCAGTCAAGTGACAATGATCGACAACTTTATCATCTTGCAGCTGCTTGTTGCAAACATAACATTGAGTCGATGCTTCAAAAACATGTCTTTCGAAATTACTGAGCTGTGCTGGTTTTTTGTGCTGGTCAAGATGGTTCTGAAGGAAATCTTTTAGCTTCAAGAGTGTGTCAATGAATATTTCACTTGCATTCAAGCCGCGATAAAATTTTTGAAATAATATTTCATCATTCCAGTCAATCGCAACTAATCCAAACGAACATGCTTCGTGTTTTTGATATTCAAACGTATTTTTAGTTAAAGCTTTGTTAGTTTTTATCAACAGAGCTTCAAAATCAGCATAAACAATATAAGGATAACTAATCGTTTTTTGTATCTGTCTAAATTTACATTTAGTTGGAATGTTTTCCTGACCAGGCAGAACAACACTTTGTGCAGTTTTATTGTAGCAAACAATTTCATGTTTGGATAGCGCTGTTTGATTTCTAAAACCTGAACAACAATTATAACAGAAATGACGCTCCCAGGATCGACTGCTTTTGATGAATGCATTGAAATTTGTAATGCAATAATAATGTTCATTGAATAAGAAAAGATTTGCATGCTTCAACTGACGTTCCTTAGCAACCATTAGCGGAACAATTTTCTTTTTTTCATCAGGTGTTAGTGTATAAACATTCACAGAAACATTATTTCGTTTAGTAAAGCGTTTAACCTGTGAAAGCGTTGTCATACCATCTACTTGACTAAAGTCATATTGCTTTTCAAAAACTTTGTAATGCCCTATTCTTTCTTTATTCATTTTTTGAGGGTGTAAAGCCATAAGGATAGACCATTTGAAACAATCTTTTCTACATTTTGGAGATAATAAACTTTTCTTTTTGTTGAAATCAGATGGTAATTTCGTTGAATCACAGCCTCCACTATGTTCTTTCAGTTTTCCAACACGAATCTCAAGAACCTTCACACTCTGAAGCACCCATCCACTTCCACGTTGTGTGAATTGATCGATAGCCAACTCAATCTGTTCAATCCAGTTTTTAACAATAGTTTCAATATGATGCAGGTTTGTTAGGCTTAACATCTCAGCAACTTTATAAATTTCTGTTGTATCCGTTCCTCCTTCGGTTTTCTGTTTGATAAATTTAAGTAGAAGACATGCTTGCACTTTTACAGATCCAATTCTTTCAATGATATATTTAAGCAAAGATTGGATATTTTCCTTTTCAACAGCTAGTAGATGTTCAATTGATTTCCAACCATCAGCTTTTATGTACACAGCTAAAGCATTTCTATAGCTTCTTTTATGCAATTTGAATGTTGCAAAATCTCCAATATCCTCACTCTGTTTTTGTCTACATTGATTAAGATGATTTAAGAAAGTTAACGAAGAAAAGCTACTTTTACATTTTTTACAGACAACTTTTTTACACTTTGTTTTATGCAGAAGAAAAGATTTGTATTTCAAGAAACTTTGCTTACATGTTGAGCACGAAAACATTCTGAATAATGAAACTAAAGTCAAATGTTTTTGCTTTAAATAAGTTTGAAACAGAATTTTTGGGAGAGCTCTCTTTTTATTAAATTTTTACCCAAATGAATGACAACCAAAATAAAAGATAATAAAGGTATAGATTAAGTGGAAATAAGTAATAAGTTTTTTCATAATAATTGGATAATACTTGTTAAGTGTAACTTAAAATACTGCATAGGTCAATCATAAATAGATTGACACATTGCTGCAGCAATACCATCAACAACAGAATGAGAGTTCAGTTTAATAATCTCCTCGTCTGTTAGAACAAGTTTTGATTCTTTCGACTCAGTTTTCAATTCCAGCGCAAAGGATTTCCCATCAGCAGCTACTTCACCAAGCAGAGTGCGTCCAGGAAAAATGGAAAACTGGAAACCATTATCAGTCTGCTTCAAATAATGATAAAATCTCTCTTTAAGCTTCTCATACTCCTTATACTTGAGAAACAACCCGTACCGTGTTGGAATGTAGATTTTTTTACCTTGCCACTGTCCTTCCTTCTTACGACGAATGTCAACAAACGTTGTTCCTTGTGCAGACCGTGATTTGTGAACAGTAACCCACAAGGTTTGACTGATCTCAACATTGAGCAGTTGCTCAAATTCTTCGGTGAATTTTTTACGGTGTACAGGTTTTTTAAGACTGTTTGCGACTTGTTGAGAGGCATTGGAACTTTCGTCGTTGGAACTCATGATGAAACTTTAACTGTTGAATGAGAAGAAACTGAATGAAGAAAAAATGAAGTGCTGCTGAACTTTTATACTTAAATCCCAGTCGATCCGAAGCCACTCCTACCGCGCTCACCAACATTAATTAACTGCTCCACTTCAACCAAATCAGGAACTTCTGCTCTCTCGACAATCATTTGCGCTATACGCATCCCTTTTGTGATTGTGAAATCCTCATCAGACCAATTATGAAGTATTACCCTTATTTCCCCTGTATAATCAGGGTCAATAACACCACCGTGAACAACAATTCCTTTCGAAGCGAGACCTGAACGTGAGGCTAGTCTAACGTAACAACCAGCAGGAGGTTGAACCTTGATTCCTGTTTTCACAATAGTTATTTTTCTTGATGGTAGAACCAAATTTTCATAGGACTGTAAATCATATCCAACTGAGTCGATTGTGCCTCTAGATGGAGTAGAGACATCTGGGTAACACTTACTGTAGAAATGATAACTTTTATGAAAATTTTATGAAAATCTCGTCTTTTTATGCAATTAGTCTGCAAAATTTTCTAAAATCGGAAGGTGTGTCCACGTGCTTACCTCCGCCCTACAAAGAGTTATTAGAGCGAGTTCATCATAAGCATTTATCGCAACAACACTATTATTAAAGTTGTGTAGTATGATGATGAATTCATCATCGAAGGTATTTTTAATCACTGGAGCGATAACAAAAACACTACGGTTCAACAAATTGGGACTTGCAGAGCACTGTACGAATGTACTTTGAGGAGGTTTCAATCGGATTCCTGTTTTAATTATAGCTGATTGGTTTGGAGATAATTTAACGTCAGCGGTGGAATAAATAATATATCCTAATTTATCTTTTGCTTGTGCAATTATTGAAGGAGTTGAAGAACACTTACAGTATATAAACGACATTGGTTGCAAGTTTTTTTGCAAGTGTTCACTTTACAACTTATGCTCACCATTATATACTCAGCCCGACCAATTCAGGATGTAAGTCACGGATCAAGTAATTAACTAAGTCAATGATCACGTGATCATCTGAAAGGTGGGCATATGCAACAAGGTGACACTTTAATTCATTTAAACTTTCATACTCGAGTGAGTTTTGGTCCAAATTTATCCCAAAATAATCTAAAACGTAACCCAATTCTAATTTTTCAGGCAACGAGAGCTGGCTATGCATAACGGTTCCGGTTTTAAAGAAGTTTATCACAATGTCAAAATACTTACTTGCAATACGCTCTGAAAATAGAAGAAATATTAGTAATTTACATTTGTAATTAAATATCTCACCTTTTAGTCTGAAACTTTTCTCACTAATCTTTTCAACTGGTCCTATCAATGAACCTCCTAAACTTTTCGTCAGCTTGTTTTTGGAGAAATTTTCCTTCAAATGTGATATAAAACATGAGTCGAAAGTTTTCAATTCAGTGCCATTATAAATGTAGACACTCTTACCAACAACAGGCTTATTGATGAAAGGATTCATGTAGTCAACACAATGTTTCGTTTGCAACTGAAATAAAATTTTCATTATACATGTTTTATATAGCAAAATTTCCCGGTTAGAGAAAACATAACACATGATTATGAGTAAAAAATATTTAATAACTAAAAAGTAAAACCCAATAACCGTGTACATAAGTCATTTTGAAAATATGACATGAAAAAGTATAAAAATACATGAAGGAATAATTATGATTTCATCATGATCCACATATTTAAGAGATTGTTTAGCAACTGTTTTGAGTCATCTGAATAAAATTCATTTTCTTCTATCTCCTCCAAAATATTCTTGATGTAGCCCCGTTCCGATTGTCCCATACTACGTAAAAATGGCGACATCAAAGCAGCGTCTAGTGTACGCACCATCGAATCAAGCGTTGCACCAAAGACAACCTTGTTGACGCGCAGCACCCAATAAAGACTAATTATCTTGCTTCTTAATGGTGCACGTTTTACAAATTTGCGTCGGAAATTGTTGCACCTACGTGTAGCGACCATTTTCCTGCAAGAACAAAGAAAAGAAAAACAAAAGAAAATTAATAAATGAATGAATGAAATAAATAAAATCTTGTACTGGTCTAAGGAATTTCGAATTACTTTTAAGGGGATATACAAGTGATCTTTTCATTAATTTGAACTCTACATATTGGACAGCATTGATTTTCAGTCTTCATTATTTCATCACAAGATGTGCAAACAGACAGATGATGGCAAGGAACATATAATATTTTAACAGGTTGGACCAAGCAAACCACACAGAAATTTCTTTCAATATCATATTTTTCATTGTTTAAAAATGGGCAATTCGGGCTTAATTCACGATGCAGTTTGATGTGTGCTGTCGGACGTCTGCTATCAGTAGCCAGTCTACAGAAAGCACATTGAATTGTCCGCTGAAACCCAGTGTAAAAGAAACCACTTTCAACGAGTAAGTTCTTTGCCCTTTCTGGTAACGGAGTGTCTTTGAAGGAATATCTCCGATTAATTTGCATTTGAAAAAGTTGATAAACCTTTTCTGGGTTTATTACGAAGCTTTCAAGAAACTCTTGAGAATAAATATCAGCATGCTTTCCGATTCTGCTTGATCTCAAAGTCAAGGGAGCGCTGTAATTCAATTGCAAATTTTCTTTGGGATTGCCATAATATTTGCAAGCGTCGCTATAATAATATGCCGTGCAAAGGCTGCTATCACGCCAGCAAATAAAAGGACAATCAGGACTGAAGTTAGCATGCAGCTCATTAGTTTTATTTTTTTCAACCAGCTCTAAGGGTATTTGCAGACCGCAAGAAAAACAAGCCACCACTTTCGTTTCTTCCACATAATAAAAACCAGAAGACTGAGCTTCGCGACGTGCATCATCACCTAAGGTGGCCTTCTTGAAGGACTGTAATCTATTGATGAAGTGCTTCATTTGTAAATATTTTTTAAGTGCGGCTATGGTTTCTGGGCAAGTCCAATTTTCAATTACTGGAGAAATCATTTTCTATCTGATAGAGAAAAAAGACACAAAAGGATTTGTTATTGACATTTATTTGCTTTATCAGATTAAAGACAATACAGAAATTTTCACATTGAGTTTATTTTTCTCATGTCTCATGATTGAACAATGTTGATTACAATTTTTCATTTTATGTATTTTAAATCTACAGTTGATCAACCAGTTATTGAGTTGTCGAGCTCTAGGGCATTTGTTCCCATGTGCAAATATACATAAGGTCTTTGAATTTACTTTTAATTTTTGCTTATTAATTTTCTGCCTATCAATATGTCTAATTGTTCTAGAATTATTACATGATTGACAATAAGCTGATTTATATGTGATTTTTTTATGCAATTTTTTCAAATACTTTACATATTGTGAAGCTAAACATGGGTTCTTAGAATTTTCAGTAACACAGACTACATCTTTCGGAATTTTCGGTGAATGAACAACTTCCGAGATTGGTTGATTTTTCCAAAAGGAGTCGTTCTTTGAAGGAATACAATTGTTTTTCCCTGAACTGGTTGATGAAATTGTGGTCGAAATAACCTTCATGATTTGCTGAAATCAAATAAAAACAATTAAGTTTCAATTGGAAATATAAATTTAATGAATTTGCTTATCAAAAATACAATATTATGAAGGGGAATTACATAAATTTCAAGGTTCGCTCTCTAGTTCTCTCAAAGTTGCATTGTAATTTCTTCTTGAAATGTACAATTCAGATCTAGCTGCGTCTACATAACTGATGCATGCCATCATTGGATGAACATATTTTTGTGGCAATAGAGCTAAAATTGACAAAAATTCATGCATTGAAATCATGAAGTCAGCAAAGTTAATAGCAGCATTTCCTTCTTCTTCAAATAAATCTTGTTCAGCAACTTGGGTTGCTTCGTCCTTAACTTTCACAATTTTCAATAAAATGGAGTTTGGGACTTTTCTTAGGCGATACATTTTCTAAAATGAATTGAAAACAATGTATCAATTAAAAAAGAAAAAGATTGGTTCACACGAATAATTGGCATTGTGAAACAAAATTTAAAGAATTTGAAAACCATATTCAAAAGAAAAACTTGAAAAAAGCTATGACTTTTCAAGTTTTGAATTTCAAATGAAAGTGCTTTCACAAGTACTCTTACAATAAGATATACATCAAACAAGTACAATACATGCAAGGAGATAGAGTTTAGCTGTTACAAGAGATACACTTGAAGACGAAAGTTCTTAATATCAATAATCGGATAGCCTGATTTCACTAGTTTGCACTATTGTAGTACTAAATTCATTTAGAGACAAGGTGTAGTTTCATAGAAGCTGAAAAACTCAAGGTAATGGTAAAGGTAGATATAAAAGTATTGTGGAGGGAAAGGTAAATGTAAAAGCATATGTAGAAAGTAGAGTCAGAGGAGGACTGGTGAAAGACAGGTAAAAGATAAGATATAGATATGTAAGTGATAAGGTAAAGATAGGTAAAAGATAAGATAAGGACAGGTAACAGTCGAGATAAGGATAGGCAAGTGATGTGGTAAGAATAGGTAAGTGATAAGATAAGAACAGGTAAAAGATAAGATAAGATAAGGATAGGCAAGTGATAAGATAAGGATAGGTAAAAGATAAGATAAAGATAAGTAAGTGATAAGATAAGGATAGGTAAGTGATAAGATAAGAACAGTTGAAAGATAAGATAAAGATAAGTAAGTGATAAGGTAAGGATAAGTAAGTGATAAGATAATGATAGGTAAAAGATAAGACTAGGTAAAAGATAAGACTAGGTAAAAGATAAGACTAGGTAAAAGATAAGACTAGGTAAAAGATAAGACTAGGTAAAAGATAAGACTAGGTAAAAGATAAGACTAGGTAAAAGATAAGATAAGAACTGGTAAAAGATAAGATAAGTGGTAAGGTAAGGATAAGTAAGTGATAAGATAAGTAAAAGATGAGATAAGAACTGGTTAAAGATAAGGTAAAGGGCATGCAAAAGAATAGATAAGGACAGGTAATAGATTAAATAAATTTTAGTTAGAAAGTAAGGAAAGGTAAAGGTAAAAGACAGGTAAATAAGGTGAAAGACAAGGTAAAATAAAGGGAAAAAGAAAGGGAAAAAGAAAGGGAAAAAGAAAGGGAAAAGAAAGGGAAAAGAAAGGGAAAAGAAAGGGAAAAAGAAAGGGAAAAAGAAAGGGAAAAAGAAAGGGAAAAGAAAGGGAAAAAGAAAGGGAAAAAGAAAGGGAAAAAGAAAGGGAAAAAGAAAGGGAAAAAGAAAGGGAAAAAGAAAGAGGGAGGGACAAGCATATAGGTAAGGGGTGTAGTTTAGCTATAGGGGCGGGCATGCGCAATGGAGTATAGGAAAGGTTAGGTAACACAAAGGAATAGGTAGGGCTAGGTAAGATGGATAAAGGAAAGGGTAATGGAAGATAAGGATATCTTACATTAACCTTTCCTTTACATACCTTTACCTCACATCTTACCTTAAACTTGTATGTGATAGTGAATAAAAGTTTAAGGTAAAGGTGAGATGTAAGATAAGACAAGGAAAGGTGAAAAGATAAGATAAGGAAAGGTGAAAAGATAAGATAAGGAAAGGTGAAAAGATAAGATAAGGAAAGGTGAAAAGATAAGATAAAGAAAGGTGTAAAGATAAGATAAGGAAAGGTAACGAAAGGTAAGGTAAGGTAAGGAAAAGGTTAAAAAAAACTTACTTTAGATTTTTGGTTGGTGTTGGTGTCGGTGTTGGTGTTGATGTTGGTGTTGGTTTTGTGTTGCTGTTGGTGTTGGTGTTGGGCTCGGTGTTGGTTCGGTGTTGATCCTGAAAAAAACAGAAAAAAATTTAGTTGAATATAAATTGGATAAATAAATAAAAACGACTTACCTTACGTGCCAATTGTTGTTTGTTGATATTGTGTTGTTGATGTTGGTGTTGAGGTGAGGTTGAGGTGGAAGCTGAAAAAAAAAGAAAAGATTAAACATTAAATTAAACAGATAAAAAAATAGAACAAAAAAAACTTACCTTTGTTGGCTTAAAAAAAGCAAAGATTAAAATAGAAACAAATAAAATAAACTAAATAAAACTGAAAACTTTTGTTGATGTTGATGTTGATGTTGATGTTGAATTTGATGTTGATGTTGATGTTGATGTTGATGTTGATGTTGATGTTGATGTTGATGTTGATGTTGATGTAAAAACTAAATAAAACTAAATAAAAACTGAATAAAAAACTTTGAATGTGTTGTTGATGTAGTTGATGTTGATGTTGATGTTGATGTTGATGTTGATGTTGTTGATGTTGATGTTAATAAACGAGTGAATAAAAATCAAGGACAATTTAGCATCAGAGAGAGAGAGCAACCCTTTTATATGTTTCCGTTTTCAATCGAAATTATTCATTTCATGCCTCGCTGAATAAAGTTGAAACATTTGTTCAGCAATGAGAAACGAAAAAATAATTATCTGACATTGAACAAAGTATTGCTAGTATCATTATCAGTTCGTTAATTGCATTCAGTAAAATTGCTACATTTGTGCAACGATCCATTATTTACATAGAATATGCTAACACGTACACTGTTAACCCTTTCGTTGATTATGCACCTTAAAATTGTTACATTTGTTAAGCCAAGAATAATTAAAACAATTAGCCAAACTTACTTTATTAGTGCAAAAGTATCATTATTCAACCCTTTTCCTTCAATTATCGAAGCATAAAAACTTTTATGTTCAAACTAATTGCAAACAATTAATCTTAAACTTGAACTTGGATAATTGTTTCATAAAGTTCGGAAATAGTTCCGCATTAGTTAACATGGTCATTGAACTTAATTTAATGGTCAATTTTATTAATAAAATATCGATTAAAAGTGAGTTATCTTGTGTATGAGTTATCTTGTGTATCTGTACTACTACTAGGATGGTGAAAAGATTCCATTTATTTACTCTTTCTGACTTCTAACTACTCTTGTAACGCAGATTATATTGAGTGTATTATCCGTCTCAGGTCAAGTCAATTGTTTGAGGATAACCATCAATGAATCACTTCAATTGTTATTTTGTGTTATTATTGACGCATTAACAGGTCAGTTCAATTTTTTACACGAAACATCAATGATAAACACACGAAATCGATTAAAAATATTAAGATTTAATGTTTTACATGACTTCTAAATTTGTTCATTCAATCATGATTTTCGTAAAAAAGGGTAAAATCTGCTTCTCTCTGAGTACTCCAAGATTCCATGATTGACCGTTCTAACTGTAAGAATCTTTGAGGAGGTATTCTTAAAGGAAGTCTAATAAAATTTTCTTGATTCTCGTAAAAAGTGTTCTTCAACATTTGTTCAATTTGAACGGTTAAATTGGACAGGTTTAATTTATGCGACCCTTCCCGATGAGTAAGGATCTGTGAGAAGATATCCAGAGTCAGATGCAACTATTGAGCCAGTCATGTTTTTCGAAGAATCAGAGGCAAGAAGAGCAATTAATTGTGCTATTTCAATTGGTTCGGCGATCCGTCCCAATGGCATTAATCTAGCCTTCTCTTCCCATTGTTGCTCGGGATCGCCTGTGGCCTTGAATATACCTGTCTTAACCGGTCCAGGAGCGATTGCATTAACACGCACATGAGGAGCCAGAAGACCTGCAATAGATTGAGTAAACGCATTCACAGCGGCTTTGGACATGCAGTAAGACCATTCTCGATCATTCTGTTTGAAAATAATAGAAAAGGCTTTATTATTATTTTGATTGATCGTATTGAGCGTCATTGCAACCGTGCTTACTTACCGGTTTGAAGCTATCAACACTCGATACGTTGACGATCGTTCCTTTGGATTCCAGTAGATAAGGCTTAGCCAAATGAGTCAAGATGACTGCTGTCCGAATGTTAGTTTGCATTACACGATCATAATCAGCAATGGCTTCACAATCATCAAAACTTTTCAGATTAACTACACCGACATCGTTGACAAGAATGTCTAGCCAATTGTAACCAGCAATTGTCTCGTCAAAGGTTCGTTTAATATTTTCATCATGCAGGAAATCAGCTCTTATAACGACTGGACGGTAACCATGAGGTGACTTAGCTTCACATTCAGCAGCAACTTTATCCAGTTTAGACTGATCTCGACCAACAATGGCTACTTTAGCACCTAATGATGAAAAGAGTATAGCTGTTGTCTTTCCGATTCCATCGCTTGAACCAGTAATTAAAGCTACTTTATTGTTTAAATTGATCATTGTATTAGCACAAGTTGTAACAATCAAACAGTAAACATGAAATGTTGAGCTTCAGCCAAAAAATAAACTTTTATATAATATTACCACTAGATTCACCTCTGATGATTAGATGAGATCAATTTAATTTTAAATTGAACTATGTACTCTGAAAAAATGCAAATTCAATTTTGGCGAATGAGCTCACTGATTGCATTGCTTTATGGCCATCATTCGTGATTCTGGGACTTCGTTATAGCAGGAAATTCTGTGAAAATTCTCACTCTTGTTCTTTCAATACAATGTTTCAATTTCAATCCTATTTTTAACTTGTTTTTAAAATATAATACTGACGAAAATAAAGTAAAGAGAAATATTAAGATAAAATATTAATTGCTGAAATGATTTTATTCTAACAATGATAGATAGATATTCGGTCATATTCGAGACAGTTTTGATCACAATTGATCATCAAAATTCATTTTTATTTGCGAAGACTTTTCACATTCCATTTAAGAAATAAACAATTTATAAGTTCATTTTTTGGCTGAAGCTTACCATTTCATGCTTACTGTTTGTTTGTTAAAACTTTTGCTAATCCAATAAGACAACAATTTAGACAAATTTAATCACTGGTTCGAACGATGGAATCGGAAAAGCAACTGAATATGAAGCTAAGTCACCTCATGGTCACCGTCCTGTCATTTTAAAAGCCAATTTCTTACATAGTTACTCGTACATTTCACCTTTGGACTCGATTTTCTCGAAAGCCATGGATCAGATAAACTTTTAAATCACAAATAATGACTCAGTTTTTATATTCTACAGCCCAGTTTAGTTTAGTTTAGAAGAGTTTAGTTTTAAAAGAAATCCATTTTTACCTTGTTTCGTGCATTTTTCTTTTAGTATTTGTGGTGATTTGTGTATAAATGTGACAATTGTGTTAAATGTGGTTTTTTAGTAACAACCATATTAAACCTTTGAAGCAACGATGCTGGTTACTTTCGACTGGGCATTCTTGTCAACAATGTTGGTGTAGTGAATCTAAAAAGTTTTGATGACCCTAAAGCTATTGCTGATTATGATCGTGTTATGCAAACTAACATTCGAACAGCAGTTATCTTAAAACATTTGGCTAAACCTTACCTCATCGAGTCCAAAGGATCAATTGTCAACACATCAACGGCTTCAAATCGTTAAGTTAAATAGTTTTATCTCAATGTCTATCAATAGAATAAATTGATAAGTTGGAAAATAAATGGAATGCCTTTCGAATTAATTGGTTAACAGGTTTCTTCTGAATGGTCTTATTGTATGTCCAAAGCTGCAGTAAACGCGTTTACTCAAGTCATTGCTAGTCTTTTGGCTCCTGATGTTCGTGTCAACGCTATTGCTCCTAGACCAACCAGGACTAATATACATGTAGTCAATAGCTCGGGTGATCAGGATAAGGTTTGGGATGAATTTGGTAAAATAATGCCGTTGAAGCGAGTTGCTGAACCAATTGAAATGGCACAATTAATTGCTCTTCTTGCCTCTGATGCTTCAAAAAATATGACTGGTTCTATTATTGTATCTGATGCTGGATACCTGCTTGGCGACCCTTACCGCTAAGAAGATCAATTTTGTTTTATTTAAGCATGCAAAATGAATAAGACGATATAAAATCTATTGGAGTAAACACTTTTATACGAAAACGACAAAATTTTATTTGACTTAACAAATCTTGAGATACAATAAATAAACAATGAAAATTTTTGTAAAACATAGTAAAAACTGCATTATTTGACTGGCAGTATATTGCATAAAAGAAACTATCTAACCAAGAATACAATCGATAACATCGTGTAGAGTCAAATGAATGATGTAAAAAAACAAAAAAAACTTTTCACATAAAAAAATCCGAGTTGGAATGAAAAATTTTTTTTGAAATTGTGGGAATGAGAAAAAGGAAGGAGAATCGAAAGTGTCCAAGACTTTGTTAAATAATTTTAAATTTTTGGTGTTTTCACATTGAATTAGGGTCGTTGGTATCGATCATCAGTTCTTTTGTGTCAATGCATGATGTCGATGGAACCTAAAATCCCGTAAATTCGACTAAAATAGCCATGATTATGAAGTAAGTTGACCACTTGAAGACGATGAAAATGGTTATTTATCATACTGATGACTCCCCGACTGCCACCAAATCTCTTAGACGCTATTCGAAAAGATAAATAGAAAAAGATTAGAACTTATGGCAGAATTTAGTATCCATAAAAGTAATAATAAATTAGCGAATAAGTACTTGAACAGTACAAAGATTTCGCAGCGCCACATCAGTATCAATTGTTTAATGCTTATGTGCATGCTTGAAACTTACTTGGACTTCACTTGCTAAATATTTTTGTTCCTCCGTCATTGAGTCGATAGTTTGACCAAAATTTGATTCCATTTTGTTGATTTTATCTTTTAAAACGGAATTGTCTTCTATTATTGTTTGAAATTGGGATGAAAGGGTTCCCAAGTTTTGTTTCAAAACTGTATTTTCTTCACTCAACTCCTTGACTATCTTCAAAATATCACTGATACGCAATTTTAAATCGTCCTTAGTTAGAAGAAAGAAGCATAAAAGTTATTTAAATATATTCTTATAAATTCAATATTAGGAACTAACCGAATAATTATTATTCTTATGAAGATACTTTGTCAATAGATCAACGTGAATTTTCCAGATTGATTCATGTTGTTCGACTTCGTCTTTATTCCCCTGTTTAACATGAAAAAATGGATTGTATTAAAACAATGAAAAGGCATCTGTAATTTATCCAATTTGGTATGAAATTTTTAATTTTCACTTACCACAAATTTACATCCCATCAGAGCTAGCTTACAATTTCTTGGTTTGCCCAAACAGGTTTCATAATGTTTTTTCAATTCACAAAATGCCATTTTACGTTTACAAAAATTGCACAAGGTAGGTCGACGATGACAATTAGACTCGTGATCTTTCTTTGATTGAAGGGCGATATCATCTCCACAGTGAGTACAAAGTATTGTCCGTCTTGGGCATTCCGTTGACATATGAGAAGGAAGCATTTTAATGACAACTCCTACTCCACATTTGAGTGGACAACTGACTACTCCATAAACACAGGTTTTCATGTGATCCTGAAAGATGAGAGAATTGGACTGTCAATATTGTCACTTAATAATAAACAAGTATGGAAGACGAGTCGACTTACCTTTAAATCTCTCAAAGTGCAAATTTTTTTACAGCCTCGACTTCGGTAAGAGCAATAAACATCTTTTTCCATGATTGTCTCAGAGTCCAGACGATCCTCGATGAACTAATTTAAATAAATATTGTAGATAGTTAATTTCAAATGCAATTAAAGACATTATTTGTTCTTGCATTAACAAGTAAAATTTTTCCTCTCGAAAATATCTATTCATTTTAAACGATTGAAAATTTGGAGGAAAATTTTAATTCTTTAAATGAGGTAATTCTGACTTGCAATTGAACAACAATAAGAATCTTATTATGACGCCAACAGGTGGCGGTCCCTAGTTTGTAAAATGAAATTCATTTTAGTTCCCTGAAGTCTCTTTATCTTGTTTCTTTACATTAACTTATTGACTAATGATTATGAGACCGTGAAATTTGATGTTGAAAGAATCAACTTAAACTTCATTGGAACCATGACCTTAGGAATTTGAACAACTATTAAACAATCTTTAAAAAACTCTTGAATCAAGAGGCTTGATATCATCCATATGGGTATTACCTAGGTAACGCTTACGCCTCCTGGGGCTGACTCATTTTTGTTATTAAAGTGTTACTTTCTTTTGATTTACTTTTACTCTTTATCATTTTGTTTTGCTTAATTTCTGTTTCTATTTCAGTTTTTTTACACAATGCCAGTGCTAAGCTGTTGAAGATTAGAGAGAAACGATTCTATAAGCCATCTGTGATTAAAAGTTCTCTGCATTCATTGCAGAATTGGATTTTCATTTTTATTGCAACATTTGAAAACTTTTTCTGGTAAGTTATCATTTTTATGTTTGTTTTTGTCTTTATCTTGTACTGATATGTAGCTAACCTAGCATTCAATCTTTTTTAAGTGGTTTTAGTTAAAAACTGTGGCATCGATGAATTTCCACCTAGCAGCCCGGACTGGCAAAAATCCCTGCCCGAATTGTGGTCGAGGTGATGAAACAGAAGTAGACGGGATCGCGAAGGAAGAAATTGCTGCCAGTCTAGAGCATTTTCTTGTTAACAGTAAAACCTTATGCATTCTCTGCTGGCTACAAACCTGGAAGATTCTTGAAGGCTTAGTTTTAGCTGTTACTCTTTGTTCACAAAGTTCATTACTCAATTATTATATCATTTATTATAGCCGAGGAACCGTTGGATGGTATTTTCTGTTTCTTATTGATGTTATGGTCATCATTTTATTTGTTATTGCTATCATAATGGCCAGAAGACATTATTCTAGTTGGAATAAGCAGCAACAAACGGGAGACACTGCTATTTCATCCATAAATATGAATGGTCATACTCAATGTACTTATTCTGAGCCTGGTCAAATTTTTGGAGCTAAGCTGCCACAGAGTATGGGAGTACTTCCTCTGAGCTACATTTCCTGGTTCATCTATTCTATTGTCTTAGTTTTCAAAATATTTGTCTTCTTTGCTAATGATATTCTGATAAAGATGGTTTCTGGTGAGGATACTACACTTTATGGATCTAAACTTTTTGAAGTTTCTTTGGCGTTGACAGCTCTCATTTTCTTACTTTGGATTGAAGCACATAAAAACTTGGAAGATGACTTGCATCGTAGTTGGTCCAAAACTTTAACTGATGAGCTCATACAACATACAACTTTTGAAATATTCGACCTTATTTTCTTCCTCGAATTAATAACTCCGGATATTGATCCAGTTACTAAACATGTTATTAATACACCAAATGTTGGTCGACCCCTTATGTACACCATAGTTGCCTTAGGTGCCCTCAATGTTGTCTATCCTTCTCTTGGAATTTATCAGCTGTCAAAACTGCATAAAAGTAGTCAAGTAGAGGAAACTGCTATAAGAAGTCATCCAGAAAAACATATTTATGGAACAAATGTTTTTATCCATTTCATCAGACTTGTAAATGTCAACATTCCATATTTATTTATACGTATTCATCTTGCTTCTGCCTATGATAGAACACTGTCCATTTTTATTGTGAAAAACTTTTTAGGGATTATTGTATCCTCACGAAGTTTATTCATTGAATATTTTCGTTGGAGAGGCCATTCTAAAGCGAAAGCTAAAGCTAAAAAGAACAAAAAAATGGTTGAACTCAGCCCCAAAGTAAACTGGGATATCCCTAGAGCTCCTGGACCACTCCTAAACTCAGTGTTACAAAGTACTCCTAAACCTTATAAAGGAGAGTGTTCATCATCATCTGATGAACAAGATGATAGTATAACAATCACTTCCGATACAAAAACATCCAATGAGCTTAGATGAAGAATTTGCTCAATTCGCTTCAAGTGCCATGATAATCTTCCATCTTAATCATTTCACCAACATCATCAAATTGAAACTGGGAAATTGTTAATTGGGAAACCAGGATACAAAAAACCAGAACAAATCAAAGAAATTCACAAGAACTCAACCATCTTAAAGCTTAATTTATTAAGATGAATCAATCTATGACCAAATGTAATATAGAAATGACTACTGATATTTTACTAAATCTATTTACTGAACTATTATATTTTACTATGTGCTTTATCTAAACCGCTATAAATTCAACAATGAATGACAAGGATGTTATACTTCCAGTAATACTTTTGTATTTTTCCGTTTTTAATTTCAGTTTTCTTAAATGATTGTTGAACCATTGGTGCCTTTGCTTCATGTTTATAATTCATCGAATTTCTAAAACAAGTGAGCAAAATTTATCATGTTCGGAACCAATTCATCATTTTATTGCAAAATCATGAAATTAAATATAATATTCAGCAGTACAATTGTTCTCATGTGCTTATTCATAATCTAAATCACTGGTGAAATGCCTTTACATGGAAACAAAAGATTTCAAACAATCATATAAACAAACGTTGTTTTGATTTATGAGACTCGTCAAGTTATAATAGATATGTTACCATCAGTAAATACAATCATTTCAAAAAGAACCCTTTTATGAACAAGTGCTTAGAGTAACGATTTAATTTGTTGATAAGCAATGTAAACAATAATCTACACTTTGATTGAACATGCATACAGATTGTGTGTCTATCTGAATTTTACAGTTCTATTTAAATGTCACCAAATTATCAAGCGACCATCTTTTCATGCAAATTGTTGAATCTTGATCACTTTATAAGGTAAAGTCGAATCACAAATTTTAATAAAAATATTAATAAATTAAACTTACCTCTTTTTTAGGGACAATGAGAGAGTCAATTGGACACTTCAAGAATCTACCATCGAAGGACAATGAATTATAACAAGGACGACAAAACTTGTGGCCACATTTTGGCCTCGAAGGCGCATTGAGTGAGGAATCTTCAAATCCATTTTCAGTCAATTTGAATGGAGCTGTTGTCTTGATTATTATCCTTACTAATAAACCACATTGGTCACACTTGAAGTTTTCTGGATACAAGTCAACAAATTGTACGCGATCAATTGATACTTCATCAAAACCAGACAAAGTTTCCATTATTTTGTCGAACCTTCCTCGCAGTAGAACAGAAACGAGTAATCAATAAATTTGATCAGGATGAAGATTCAGTTTGCAATCAGGAGGATAAAAGCGTCACTTTTTTGCTAACACTTCAGCAACATTGACAAAATACATTGTGTCTTCTTAATTAAAATACTGTTGAGCATAAAGAACCAAAACAAACATAATTAATGATTGTTGATCACGGGCGAGGTTCAAACAATTGGTTCATATTGAATGATAAATATCTAACAACAGTACATAAGATAGAGTAAAAATTGAATATAATAAAAGGTAATAGAAACATTAATTTGTATGAGAAAGCAATAAATTGAGACAAAATGAAGATAAAATCCAAGGGAAACCTCTTATTCAATTATCTTAGCATGTTCTGGATCTAGTTGTATGACGAGTGTGATTATTATTATATGTAGGACAGAGATTTGAGTACGAGAAAAGGGGGAAAATGATAAAGAAAAGTTGATAACAAGAATCATAATAATGGCTAAGATTTCAAGTAATGAAGCCAAATAAGAGTTGAAGTCAAGTGAGAATGAAAGATTGAAATGAAGAGAAAAATCTCTTCATTCTTAAGATTATATTCAGACTAATAGATGGCTTACTTGATTGCCTTTTAATTCAGATAGACAAACATGGACAGTAATGAATCATACCTAGTAGGAATATTAATCATTGGTAACAGTCTAGTTATACGGACACAGGGAGAGTATTAATTTTACACAGTTTGCTCATTTATTTGAATTCATTAATTATTAATCAATGATATTTATATTGTACTTTTTGGTGACGTATCTTCGTACCAGCACTAAATACTTGCATTAACGGACAAACAAACTGCCCGCCAATCAGCTCTAGAATTATCTTTGTTATCTTTCCATTTTATGTTATTTCAGTGATTGATATTAAAGGAGATTACCCAAAAATACAAAATTGATGGATTTTTTAGTCTTTTAGTTTTCTTGTAGAGCATCGAAAATGAATTATGACTGAATGTACTTTTTTATTTGCGCTGAATACTTCCGGTTACTGAGAAAACTGATAACAACCAACAAAAATGAGGGAATTTGGTCCGATATACTGCACACAGACAGGTATAATTTTATGACATCAATGAATGGCTCTTGACTTCTTTTATCAAGTAAAACCGGAAGATAGCGGCTTCTGATAAAAGATTCCATGATGGGAAGCATATCATATTAAGGTGTCAAATAAATTTTGCGGTTCGCTATGAAAAAAGATTTGATTGTGATCTTTTTTGGCTAAAACATTATTTAACCTTAATTAATCAGTATAAAACAAAAAAAATCAAAATCGGACAAATATTCGCAAAATTATTGCATTTTTACAGTTTTTTAAAGGGTACAAAAATCGACCAAAATTTTTTTTCACCAACTTTTTTCATCAAATTTTCTAGCGACGCGTCACAAAATTCACCTCAGATTCTCAATACTTGCGAATCTATCCTAAGAACCTGATCTCATCTCTATGGGCCTCAATCTATCTTAATTTTTGGAAAATTCATTCAAAGAAGAGTAGGTCTATTCAGGAACGGAGGTCAAAATCACTTTTGTCAATTTTTTCGCCAGAAATTTTCGGACGCTCACAAAAATGACATCAATTATTCGATGAGGAAAATTGAAACGATATTTTGATACTGAAGGTCCTTAATTTGATTCACTGAAATTTCAGTCAATTCTAAGCTAAACTTCATACCCAACCGTAAAACTTAAATGACACCTTAATATTTCAAGGTTTTGCAACGATAACCGTTCATTTTTCATTCACCGTGTAGAGCCACATCATTGGAAGTTTGGAAACAGCTTTTGTACCAAAATTTAATTTAGTATTTTTTCATAATTAGATGCAAATAATATTAATGAACTGATTTTTTTGGTCAAATTGAGTGTGAAAAGACTATAACTAGAATTTTCATCACCATTGAAAATCGCGCTCATTTATTGAAAAGGGACAATTTTAGGTAGTCGACTGTATTTACACTATTAGTCAGTCGGCGTTATTCATGATTTTCAAACTTCTTTGCTAGATCAAATTAAAGCAAAATGTTGCTTCAAGCTAATTTTGAGAGTTTTTGGATTGATATTGGAAGAAAATTGAATTGAGCCAATTTATGATTACAGAAATCGAATAGAAATTCGACTGAATGTAAAAGAAAATAAATGTTGCGTGCTATTCCTGCCAACCATTAGGGGGTTCAAAAAGTTCTTTCATTTTTTATCACTGATACTTTTTTCGATTTTGAATAAATGTCGACTTATATTTTTGATGAAAAATTTAAAATTTTTAAATTAAATTTCATTTGAAATCCAAAATTAACATTGATTGAATGCATAAAGTCCACGTAATCAATCAACAAAATTTTTAACTTCTACTTATCATTATTCAATAATTCAAATTGATAGTTCGAAAAAACTCATTTTTTCGAATATTCTAAGAGATTTTTCAATAGAATTCTCGTATAAATCGCAAAAAAGTTCAAAAACCTTTCTGGGGAAATTTTTATAGATGACATCATTCTAGCTATCCAATTTACTATTAGATTGAACGAGCCAATGACTAATGACCCCAATGGGAAAATCATTGATAGCCATACCGAACACTATGAACATGCAAATATCCGAGATAATCATAAGAACACACGGTTATCCAAATTGATAGATGAAATGAAATGATTTCTTATTTTTATATTCGATTAGACTTTATTTCTGTATTCTATAAGCATATAAAATTACAGAAAAATGTATTGCAAGATAGAATAAGAATTTAAATATTAATCTGCAAATTCACGGGTAATCCAGATAGCATGTTGGCTGGATTTATTGGAAGCGCTGGCTTAACTGGACCTTTTCCAGATTTTGGAATGCTATTTTTTCCTTTGCCAAATGAAGAGCTTGATGCTGCTGCAGCATCTGCTGAGGAACTCGAGCCTGAACCAGGTCTATTAGCTTTTTTATTTCCGCTTCCATTTCTACTTGAAGATGATGCAGCCGATTTTGATACTGCATTATTTCCTCCGCTTGGTTTGTTTTTTCCGCTGCCGTTTCCACCTGAAGATGATGAACCTCCTGAGGACGATGATGCTGATGAACTTGAGCCGCTAGCATTATTTCCTCCATTTTGCTTGTTATTTCCAGTGCCATTTCCACTTGTAGCAGATGCAGCCGATTTTGCTGCTGCATTATTGCCTCCGCTTGATTTGTTGTTAACGCTCCGGCCTGTAGATGATGAACCTCCTGAACCTGAGCCAGAGTCAGAGCCAGAGCCAGAGCCAGAGCCTGAACCAGAGCCTGAACCAGAGCCTGAACCTGATCCTGAACCAGAGCCTGATCCTGAACCAGAGCCAGAGCCAGAGCCTGAACCTGAACCTGAACCTGAACCGTTACCGCTATTTCCACTATTACCGTTTCCACCTGAAGATGATGATGAACTTGCGCTTGAGCTTGAACTTGAACCTGAGCCGTTAGATTTATTTGCTCCATTGTCATTTGTATTATTATCGCCATTGTCTGCATCCGATGAAGAAACTGCATCGGCTAAAGATGATGCTGATGCAAAACTATCTGTATCGGTACCGAATAATAAGTTTTTAGCTTTGCTTGCTGCTGATGATGCTGCTGCTGCCGCTGATGAAGCAAGACCTAAAGCGTTCCCAGTACTATCACCTGCACCATTTGAGTTTCCTGTGTTGTCACCGTTATTGCCTCCTTCAGATGATGACCCTCCTGAACCTGAACCTGAACCAGAGCCTGAACCAGAGCCTGAGCCTGAACCAGAGCCTGAGCCTGAGCCAGAGCCAGAGCCAGAGCCTGATCCTGAACCAGAGCCAGAGCCAGAGCCTGAACCTGAACCTGAACCGTTACCGCTATTTCCTCCATTACCTCTTCCACCTGAAGATGATGATGAACTTGAGCTTGAACTTGAACTTGAGCCGTTAGATTTATCTGCTTCATTATTGTTTTCACCAGAAGTGTATGAATTTGCTTCAGCTTCTGCGTTGCTTCCTGCATTTCCATTGCTGTTTCCATTGCCATTTTCTTCTGATGATGCTGAACCACCTGAACCTGAACCAGAGCCAGAGCCAGAGCCTGAACCTGACCCTGCACCTGAACCAGAGCCTGAACCTGAACCTGAACCGTTACCGCTATTTCCACTATTACCGTTTCCACCTGAAGATGATGATGAACTTGCGCTTGAGCTTGAACTTGAACCTGAGCCGTTAGATTTATTTGCTCCATTGTCATTTGTATTATTATCGCCATTGTCTGCATCCGATGAAGAAACTGCATCGGCTAAAGATGATGCTGATGCAAAACTATCTGTATCGGTACCGAATAATAAGTTTTTAGCTTTGCTTGCTGCTGATGATGCTGCTGCTGCCGCTGATGAAGCAAGACCTAAAGCGTTCCCAGTACTATCACCTGCACCATTTGAGTTTCCTGCAGCTGCTGCTGCTGCTGCGGCTGCGGACGCTGCTGCATTTGAATCTCCTGTGTTGTCACCGTTATTGCCTCCTTCAGATGATGACCCTCCTGAACCTGAACCTGAACCAGAGCCTGAATCAGAGCCTGAACCAGAGCCTGAACCAGAGCCTGAGCCTGAGCCTGATCCTGAACCAGAGCCTGAGCCAGAGCCAGAGCCAGATCCTGAATCTGAGTGTGAACCTGAATCACTACCTCCAGATGTTGAATCCGCTGATGAATCTGCTTGTGCATTTGCATTAGATCCATTATTGCCTCTATTACCGCCGTTTTTTCCATTGCCATTATCAGATGATGAATCGCCTTGAGAGTTTGCATTTGCATTAGAATCAGAACCAGATCCTGAATTTTTACCGCTATTTCCTCCATTATCATTTCCTCCTGAAGATGAACCTTCTGATGTGGATGATGAACCTCCAGTTGCTGAATCTGCTGCTGATTCGGCTTGTGCGTTTGCACTAGAACCATTATCAGCTCCATTACTGCCGCTGTTTCCATTGCCATTGGTGGCTCCAGTTGCTGAATCTGCTGCTGATTCGGCTTGCGCGTTTGCACTAGAACCATTATCAGCTCCATTACTGCCGCTGTTTCCATTGCCATTGGTGGCTCCAGTTGCTGAATCTGCTGCTGATTCGGCTTGTGCGTTTGCACTAGAACCATTACCAGCTCCATTACTGCCGCTGTTTCCATTGCCATTGGTGGCTCCAGTTGCTGAATCTGCTGCTGATTCGGCTTGTGCGTTAGCACTTGAACCTCCATCTCCACCGTTGCTGTCATTGTCGTTATCTTCTCCGCCAATTGTAATATCCATCAGTGAACTTTTATCTTCAGCACTTGAAGTGGCAGTCGCTGCAGCATCTGAAATCGAGAACTCCATGGAAGGCATGTTAGACAAGATAGCGTCTGGATCTACAATAGATCTAGTAGATACATAATTATTCGCTGTGATAACAAGAATTAGTAAACTCAAATATATTTTTAAAACCATTTTAAAGTTTTTTATTTTTTAACTTTCTCTTATCCTAAGTTTGGATAATATGATTCTCAGTCAACGATGTTCTAGGTTTTATAGTAATTTTCATGGCATTTGATTAAACACATTCTCAATTTGGAAACGGAAATGCATCCATTGTTTTCTTTTTGTTTAATTTACTGTATTTGTCGTGGCATGTACCTCTTCAAATCATAATGCAGTCAGAAGTTACAAGTTTACTAAAAACATAGCAACATTAAAGGCACCTAATTAAATGTTCCTGGAATTCGGAATATAAAACATATGGTTTCTTTATTCAATTATCTGTATTTACTTTCGAATTCAGTTTAAAAAGATAAAAAGTAGTTAGCAAAAATTAATCGTAAACATCAAATACAACAGTTTTAAATGTCATAGAGATATTTGAACAATTGTCTCGACATTATTCATCAATTCGTTGCGTCTACTGTTTTATCATGAATTTTTATTAATAAAAAAAGTATTGTCTTGTGTCAGCTAATTCAGTGTATAAAATAGCTAGGTTAGTTGAAAACTGTTTTGTATGTTTATCAGTTCCACTAGAAATTACTGATTTATATTTTTTAATCTCTGAATTGGTCATTGAATCTACATTTCTCTGAAAAAAATGTACCTCATTATCATTTCCATCGTCAAATTCATGAGGATTGTTTACGAAGATATTTAAACTGACGTGTTTTGTTGCTTGATTTATGACTAACCTGTTAATTTATTTAGATAAGTTTATTCAGCAAAGAGTAATGAAGTCAATGCAAATATTTAAATTCAATGTCCGAATCTTGATTTGAGAGCTAAAATAACTGTACGAGACTCGACTTAGCTTTCATTGACAAATATTAATGAATATTGCTGTATTGCCTATTATTATAATAATAATATATTTAACATCAATTTCATGTACCACATGGGGCAAAGATAGCCAATTAAATGTACTTTTAAATGTTGAAAAGCTTAAGAACTTTACGGAAAACTAAAAATGCAATTACTATTTTCATGCAATTCATCAGCTAATCAGTACTTGCATCGATTGACTTAAATGTGGTATCTTAAATAAAAGGCTTTTATCAAAGCTCTGTTTGACCGATTTATTGACAGCAAAAATTATAAAAGGCCGAGTTTAATCGAGGTATGAGTTATTTGGTGATCGTTTCCTAAGTTATCATACAAAGCTTTGCCACATATTATTTGAGTTTAAATACAGAAAAAAATGTAAATTATATAATACATTGAATATCGAATATTATTTTTCATAATTTAGCTTTTGGTATTTTTCTTCAGTTTGGTATCCTTTCCTTGCTAACGTAAGATTTAAGTCTTTCACCTTTGGTCCTCTTTTCTGGTTGATTGTCGCATCATTTTACTCCCTGGCCCTTCCCTTCTTGTGCGTTGTTTTATCTTAAATGATCTTATATCGGTTTTCCCTGTGTTTCTTATTGGTTTATTTTGGTTTTATTCTCATGTTTCTATCCACTTGACAAACTTGATGAAGGTACTCAAGAGATAATTACATTCGTTAGGTCGCAATAGTGATTTTTGTCCACTGAAATCGTAAAAAATCAAAAGAGCATTTAAATTATTGATACAAAACTGAAATTGTGATTATTTATGCTCTAAAAACTCATAACTCAAACAAAATCGCTATTTACTTCTTGCATGTCCATTTTTAAGACAAAGTAAATAAAATATCATTAAAACCAATTTATAATCAACAATTAAAAAGCAAAAAATTTACACACGTGCTGTCCATTTACAAAATGATGATTTTATTACATAAATTAGTGACCAGAGGGAGGTTAAGTATCGATACCATCGGGTAAAGTATCGAGTACTATTGTTTTTTCAAATATCAATTATTTAACTGCTCATTGAAGAGGTAATTGTGAGTTGTCTTTAAATAGTTTCATTTTCACTATAACCTTTAATAACATTACTTTATTTTAATTGTTTCAGTTATATTAAACATCAACATCAAACATTTGTAATGATCTTTCTCAACAACATAATCAGCAACAAAATGCGCAATTCGTCCACTGGAAGCTATTACAAGGAGAGGAAAGATTTCGCCGCACGAAAGACTGAATGTGAAACCCTGAAAGCTAAATATGAAAACAAAATACCGGTGATTATTGAAAGGTACAACAAGGAAAGACACCTCAATTTAATGGAAAAGACTAAATTTTTGGTTCCAGGGGATCTTTATGTTTCCAAATTACTGATGATCATCCGTGATAAAGTGAGAGTCAATGAAAACCAAGCTATCTACTTGGTGGCGGACAATAAAACAATACTGACAATGACCAAAACGATGGCGGAAGTTTATCAAGAGCATAAAGATGAAGATGGTTTCGTCTACATTACGTATGCTTCACAAAGCGTGTTTGGTGCGAATAGCGCGTAATTTTCCTCTTCCCTATTGCCATCATCTGTTTTCATCAAATTATTTTTTTAACCTTAATATTCTCATGTTGTCTATTTCCCATCTTTCATCCAACAAGCCTCTAGACAAACAGTCTTGGTTATTTTACCCTTTCTTTTTACACGACAATTAAACTCGACATTAAATTTGTCATATTCATTATTGAAAAATTTATTTCCTCTGCAACCATTTGTTCAACCAATCTTTTCAAAACGTGGCTCCATGCTGAGTAAAATTAGAGGACAATTTATTGATAAGTGGTTAAGTTAACTGTTGTAGTTCAATGGAACCCTTGTCGTGATTTAAACTGGACTTTTTTCACCAGAAAAGATGAAAAGGTTTGAGTTCGCCAGTTGGTATTAACCAAAATTAAACTGTGACTGGTAGCTTACTAGATTGAACCTAAAATGAAGCATAAAACACTGCATTGGGTGCAATTTTCAACAGTACTTAGGAATTGATTTGCACCTGAATTTTACATTTGAATATCAACAGACTCTTTGCATTACAGTGAATGATACAAATTGAAATGACAAGCCAGGTTGAAGGAAAAATCTTGAAATTTCATCTCGAAAAACATTGAATATTGAAACAAGATGCAATCTGATTGAGATTTTTGAAAATTATTTTTTACTCAACTGGTAACTCATTTTTATACCAATTGATGCGCAAAGTTAGACTATTTTCAGGTGAACTTCTATTTTCCATGCTTGTGATTTATCACCATCTTTACCTTTACTTGCTAAGATTAAATGTAAAAGTAGATGAAAAGATGTAAACTCAATTCTGGACAATTAAGGGGCATTTATGTATGAAAAGATAGAGCAAGAAAAAAATGCGTAGACATAAAATTTGCATAGATATTGAAATTGTAAAGTCGAGAGTTTTTTTGTTACCAAAAAAAAGTTGAAGAAGCACAAGAAGCAAAAAATGAAGTTAATCTTAATAATGAAATTGTATGAGGCATGAAATGAAAAGAGGTTAAAATTATATTAAAAAATAGTGTTTTGTCAAGTTTTCATTTTCATTTCATTTTTAATATTGACTGATTAAACTCCAAGTGAGACTTTCATTGACCGCATCAAATGAATAGAGATTGAAAAGGAAGAAGCAACAACAGGGGAAAAAAGAGATAAATTGATGATTGATCAATAATTTGATTATCATTTAACTAAATCAGCAGAAAAAAAGAGTGAAATGATGAAAGTAAAAATGTTTTATTATTGTCATTATAATGATTTGCTCTTGAAAATGTCAGTCAATGTGAAAGGTTAAAGGAGATTAGTTTTGTGTGTTTAGATTGAAAATGAAAATGATAGAGACAAGTTGTTCAAGTGATGATACAGATGAAGATGAGATTGGTGATGATGGGGATGATGAAGAGTATAATGAGTTCAGGTAAAACTGTAACATGGAAGGACAAATCCTGAAATGATTGGAAATGATTTACTCAAATTGAATTTATTCAGGCGAACAGTAAATTTCACCCTTAAGGAACTCATTTTGTCATCTTTTTCTTTCTCTCTCTCTCATCTTCCATCTTATCATCATTATTTTCATTTTCATCACCTTTCTCTCTTCAAGGTGAATCATTTTGTTTCTCTTCTTCTTTTTTTACATCACTTTGCTTGGGCTTGCATTTTACTGTTATTTTGTCACTCATTTCTTCATCACTTTGCGTCCATTTAGAAAGTTTTTTTTTCTTTTTCATTCCCTCTTTATCTTCTCTCTCTTCCAATCATCATCACCTTCCTTGCCAATCATCAAAATTGTCATCATAATCATTGTAATAATCTTTCACTTTCATCATCGCTTTTTTACTTTTCCTTGTTATTGTCATTTTGTTTAACCTAAATCCATTCATGCTTTCGGTTTCCTTCCTTTCCATATCACACCTTAACCCTGTAGGGTTAATCACAACAATTGATTACATTTTTTTCCTCTTCACATCATTTCTATTGCAATTTTAATTGCAACCCTTCAAGGCCCACCATTAAACCTCATTTAAATTATTCAAGTTATTTCAGCTTGACTTTTCTAATTGGCGCAAAAATTCAAGATAATCATCATTCATTAAGGAAGAGCACAAAAAAGTGATTTACATTTTCATTGAAAATAAATCTTTTAAGTTCAATTTCAATGTAACTCTTTGGTCGATTGAAAGGAAACAAAGGCTTTGCTAAGAGGTCACTTGGACTTGACCATGAACCTGTTTATGGTTCGATCAATTTTATTTATTAGTTTAATTGTTGATCGAAAAATTGTTATCGATTGTGGACCGTTAGATGGAGCCAATAACAAATTACATTCATTTGAACATTTGACTTGAGATGACATGAGTTTGACATTAAATTACGAGGTAGATCGAGAGTTGAATCAAACTCGGCAAGACTCACTTAATTGTAAACAGTTAGCGGTAAAATTTGACTAATATTAGTATAAATTATATTAGCATAAAGGAAAAGTCCCTGAATGGGGAGAATTGGAATGCTCATGTTCACTGGGATTGACTGACTGAAACAGTCTGTATTAACCCTGTAAATCTGATCATCATTTGTTGGTTTCTTTCTTTGAAAAACTCTTCATTGTGATTCATCTT